CTCAGTGGGTGAGCATGGTGCTGACAACACCAAGTCAAGGGTTAAGATCCCCTTACCGGTCATCTTTTTAAAAAAATAAATAAATAAATAAATTATAGCCCATAGGATTAAATACCTGAGTTCTTACTAATGTGTTTGAATAAATAAGTGTAAGGAAGATATAGCTCCTCCTTACAATAAAATTCCAGTTTATAAACGTAGAAGGAAAGAAATAGAAAATCAGTGTTGGGTAAACACATTACTGCAGGCAAAACCCACCAACGGATGCTAAAATTAATGACAAAAGGTTTGCATAGTTTCAAAGTATCTTCCTGACCCACCAAGTAGTTATTAATTAAAAAGGAAAGATGGAGAGAAACCTAGCAGGTATTTTAATCAAGTGATCAAAGTTAAAATCACAAGTACTTTACATATTAACATCTTCTACACCCTCATAAGATATGCTAAGAAGGACACATCAATTCCATGGTATTCTTCACACACACATTCACACACACACACACACACACACACACACACCTACAAGGAAAATATGAAATGGCAGAGGCAAAGAAAAACTGCAGTTGGATTAGAAATTGAAGGTATCATTTCTCAGCCTTTAGGCTAAGATCAAGTGTAAAAATATGAGGTATCAGTACAGACTCACAATTTATAAAACAATATGTATTTATATACAAATGTGTGTTTCCTTGCTCTGCCAGCAAAAAGGGCCTAGTGGTACCCCAGGAGCAATGAGCATTCCTAGTTCTCAGATCTTGGTTTCTAAATACCATTCCTCCTAAAAGGAAACAAGCTCCTTGAAGAAATGGCTGTTTCCAGGGTCAAGGCAGGGAAGGTACAAGTTAAGTCTGGAATGTGCTATTTTGCTAGAAAGTGAGGATGTGCTTAAAAAAAAAAAAATATGCTGGGGACTTACCAAAAGAACACAGTAACCAAATTTCCTGGGGCTCCCCTCAGCAAAATCAACCTCAATTTTAAATCAATATAAGTACAGTAACAGATTATAATCCACTGATTAAAACAGAAATCTGAGTCTATACTTAAAATACGTATGTGGGTGGTTGGGGAGGAAGGGAGAGACAGTGGGACAGAGAGGAAAAGGCGGAGAGGGGGACAGAGAGAAAGAAGATGACTCCTTGAAGTAATATGCTGATGTGTGTGTAACGTAGCAGAATTGAAAAATCACCATTTGCAGCCATAATAAAGATTGGTTTGGGCAAGAATTATCAATTGCTAAATTGGGGGAGGGAAACGGGATGTTTGTCAAGAAGCATAACACTTCCCATAGATTGTGTATTAGTTGCAAAGGGGAAAAATAACTACACAGTGAAAACACAGAACAATACTTTGACCAGAATATCAAATCTTATTTATACATGTCTCCACCAACTATCACAGTGTCTAATAATTTTGACAGTTTAATAAACTTTGGTTGAATGGATACTCCCTGCCTAGACTGTAAGATGCTAGGTGTGTCTTTATTAATCTATGTTTCCCACCTCCAGTCCTGAGACTAATGAAGACACAAAGTACAGTGATTAGAAGAATAGTAAAACTTTAAAACTAGTCCATACATTATATAATATTCCATACTCTCATGTCAACTAAATTTTTGGAAGTAAAGATTTTTCAAAACTTGTTAACAGTATAGTATAAAACCAGAAAATTAGAAATTTTAAAAATCTCTCCAAATATACATGTATACACTAACTTCGAAAGGTTTTTGTATTTCCAGATATTCTACAAAAGGAAAACCTCAAAAATAAGTGAAGCAACAATAAAATTTATGAATACACTGTAGTTAGAACCCAACTTTATTGTTACAACCAATTTTTATTTACAGATAATAAATCTCTTCAAAAAGATACATTCCTTCATGTAATCAATGGTAAAAAGCCTTATTAAACAGAAATAAAGCCTAAACATTACATATCTAAACAGAAATACAGTTTCATTAAAAGTTTATGAACATACAGCAAAAATGTATTTTTACTTAATTAAGCAATTACATGAATGAGGCTGTTTTTAATTTTCTTCACTAGCAACCCCATTTTATCCACAGAACAAATTTTACTTAAATTAACAGTAGTAAAATGTAAAAATTAAATTTTAAACATGAAAAAAAATATGCAACAAAAAAACAGGAAGTATCTTCATTACCAGACAGATTAACAAATTCGCAGACACTCAGATACTCTCTGAGGCATGTCAAAACACCTACATCAAAAGTTGCATTCGTTTGAGAGGTATCAATACATTTTCAGTGCCGAGACTATTTGTAGCACTTACAATATATACAAAGCAGCATTATACTACTATGGTTCACATTTGATAAACACAAATTTAAGTTTTATGCCACAATTTCCCAATTCAACATACAGCTAACGCAATGACAATTACTTTTTTTTTTTTTTTTTGCTGAAACTGAATAAGGAAATTAATCATTTAAGCACAAGAAATAATGCCATGTCTTCTTCCTTATAGCAATAATATATTTCAAAATTCAAATACTTCATAACATGGAATCTTGACCTAGCCATACAAAGTCTCCTAAATATAATACGGTCAAAAAGTTTCCTCTTTGCAGATTCCATTAATTTATACTTTAGTACAAATAAATACAGAAAACTATGTCAGATTATTGGACAATTTCAGTGTGTTACTACCTATATTTAAGTAGTAGCACACCACAACCATGGCAAGTCAACACTCTCATCTCCTCCATTGCTTTTCAGAGGTCTTCTCAGGTCACAGGAGCTAGTTTACAAGGATACCATTGGGTTTCAACCTATCTCTGAAAGTTCCTTTATTAAGAGTTTTGAAACTTAACTAATGGAACACCTACAATTCCAATCAGCCAGTTTTAGTCTTACTCCTCACTAACTAGCTCAAATATAATATGTAACTTTTCAATTATTATAAACATCTTATACATGTTTTTATTAAAATGATTAATGGTATTCAAAATACCATTAATGAGTAAGATGTTAAAAAAATGGGATTATGAGTATTGTACAGAGCAATATTTTCATAACTAGAAAAGCTATAGGATTCACAATGAACATATATATAATGATATTTTAACCCTGTTGTCTTATAACATCAGTAGTACAGTAAGTGCATAAAGTACAGAAAAGAAGAAAAAGAATATTTCAGGAGAGAAACTTAACTAAAAACTTGAATTCTGAATTCCTCACACACAAAAAAGTTTAAAGTGTTTTTAAGCACTACCACTACTTTTTTTCCATCCAAATAGTTCAGATCTTCATTCCAAATTATGATCCAGAAATAAAAATTTTCAGTGTAAAAGTTTTGTTCAGAAAAAATCTAATTCATTATGTAATATCTTATTAATTTAAATTTTCACATATTTAAGAAATACAAACCCAAATATTTTCTTTTACAGAGACACATTGATAGACTGAGCTTCAAAGATGGGGGGAAAATAAATGATATACTTTTCTGTCCACAGACATTAAGCCCAAGATGTAACAACACTGTTATCACACAAGTTGTATGTAACTGGGGGGGGGGGGGGGGGGGGGTTTAAAATAAAAAAATTTTTTTTTTTTAAAAAAAAAAAA